TGTTTAATATTTTATGTAACGTACAAAAGTCCTGTGACAATTTATGACAACAAAAACGAATGAGACTCAGAACCCGGCAACGTCCTGCAATAGAAGTTTTTGATTGGCCGAGAAGCGCCAGATGGGTTTTAATATGAATTATAGTTAGTATTTCTTGTAAACAAGTCATATCACATACCGACACGTACCAATTGATCATGGCATATCAAATCATATCAACCATAAAGTAAAACAATACAATAATCCAAAAGTTAAACTTTACTTCCCATAATGTATTCTTAAAAAAAAATCAGCCTTTACAATACATATACACGATTTTTTTCCCAGTATAAAGAATCATGCCCACGTGTCAACAATAATATGTTATTAGTGAAAAGGTTTTAATTCACGTTCCCTCGATGAAGTCATATCACGAAAGCTGGACATAGTTTGAAATTACATAAAAATAACACTTCAAAACATCAGAAAGAATTACGTCTATATTGAATTGCGATGTGTTTAAGTGGAGAGGTTGTGAGTATTTACTTAATATTTGTCAATTTATATATCAAATAAACGTTCAACAGTGTTCATGATTGGTAACATTATCACGTAATGTTTTTATATGAACAATATTTGTATTTGTTAAAAAAAATCATAAATAGCACCATTTGTCAACGACTAGTGTTAACAGCACCTCTAATCTGGATGGTAGACGTCAATTTTCCAATATACATATTCGATATGTTCCAATTGTTTAACTACACAATTCGGTAAATCAGCACTTGTGAGCAAAACACTGGCTGTAAGCATATTTACAAGCGATATTCCCTTTTCCCCAACAAAATCTTCGCAGTAGATGTAAATGGTTATATTCAGATCAGATGACAAAGAATATGCTAATACATTTGTATCTCATGGTATCGATAAACCACACTCAATCCACCGCACATAAAATCTGCCAGTCCATGAATCGCCAGTACCCCCACCGATGTTTCCCAGTGTAGGCTCCTGTCCCCACCGTGAACGATAATATCCTGTAACACAATAATACATTGCAGTTAGATATCAATTATTTAAGAGTGCTGTGTACACATTCAATATTAGTGTATACCATTGGCATCTCGGATAGAAGCATATACTGATATATTCTCAACACTTCCATTCAATAATAATAACGTTAACCATACCTATAGCTGATGGAGATTCCCAGAAATCATTGTCAATTGACGCGGCTTCATTCGGAACCACCAATAAACTCACAGTGGTCTTGTCCGTGTCCACTGGAATCGGTAACGTTCAAAAAAACTTCATTCAAGTCATCGCTCAGATAGATTTTATAGCGCGTTGGTGAACATAAATTAACGCCAACATATCTACCCACGTGATAGCCGCTTAGTTTCACATACTG